CCAAAGAGGGGAGAGCATTATTATAGCTTTGCTGTCCTAGATTGGCTGGGTGGAGCCCCAAGCTGGGGACCACACTCTGGCAGGAACCTCTCCTTCTCTGGCCCAGAAGCTGCTGGGGGCTTGGACTGAGCTCTTCCTGGCTTAGAATCCCTGACTTCCACTCCAGTGTCCAGACGCCAGAGATAAAGGAACCAAGCAGGAAGAGACACTTCCTCTTGGATGCCCCTTCTCCTGCCCCAGCAGGCCCCAGTAACTAGGTCCCTGCAGCCAGGGAAGGGTTAAGTGTCCCCACAGCCACAGTGGTAGAGAGGAAGCTGATGAAATATGGGCACTCGGAACTCCAGGCCCAGCTGGCTTTCCTGTTTACACTTCTTTATACTTCCTCCCACCCCACTGCCCTGGAGAAACAAAACATAACCAAATAAAACAACCTCCCTGCCTCCCAAAAGTCAAATTCAAATTGTCCACTGAAGGGTGGTCAAGCTGGCTTTGGAGAGAAAAGGGAAACCACCGCTGTTTAAATCTCTAAGGCTTCCTGAGCCCTGCCCCAGGCTGAGGGTGCACTCAGCATCAGATTAAGGATCTGACAGAGGGTGCAGGCTTCAGCGGGGAGGCTAGAGCCTGGAAGCTGTGCTCTGGGGAAGGAGAAGAGTCCTCTACAGGGTGAGCGATGAGAAGGAAGGGAGAGGGTCTGAGACAGAGGAGAGAATTTGATGGCAACAAAGACCCCTCCGTCCCAATGATTCCCTCACCCAACATTTCCTGATTGGGAGGATTCAGGGGGACCATTGCCCCCCAAATCAATAGACAGAGGAAAGCCCAGTTTAGGCATCTTCCCTGAGATCTCAGAAGGAAGAGATTTGACCTCTAGTGCTTTCCTGGCAGAAGTGGGCCCACACCCGCTTTGGCTTCCCTTGGACAAGCCCGGGGATTTGTTTAGATCTGCCCACGCCATGTCTCTGGGCCCCCAGGCTCACATGCTCTTTGGCAGTTTGTAGAAGGGACACAGAGGGGCAGAATAATAGTAAGCGCAATGACCACAAAACCTTCAGGGTGGTGGGCTTGAGAAGGCTCTGAGACGGAATGGTACATTAGACTGAAGCCAAGGGTCCAATAGGAATTGTGGCCCTGGCTTGGGTTCTGCCCTGTGGCTCTCTCAGTCTGCCCCTCACTCCTCTCCTTCTCAGCATCCAGAGCGGGTGCCGATGAAAGTTGTGACCTCAAACTGTGTTCTTCTTCCTTTTATTTTTAAATAGTGGTCAGGATCCACTGGGGGCTGACTAGAGTCTTCTCGATCCCCCACCATTCAGAAAGAGAGGAGTCTTCCATGTAGAGCAAAGAGCCCAAGCTCTGCCCTCTCCCTCTGCTCTCCAAAGCCGTGGAAAGTCTCTGGTCGAGTGGCAAGAGAATAGAGACTAGGCAGAGAAGAAAGGCCCAGAGACCCAATGTACCCTAACGGGAAACGGAGGACGTCCTATGGCCTCCTCCTTGTCCCAAGGTTAGTTGCCCCTCAAGGTGCCACATGTGTGGAATCCCAGGGAGCTATCGTGGGGCGGGGTGAAGAAAGAAGAAGAAGAAGCAGACTAATGGGGAGCAGGAGGAACAAAGATGGTTGGCTCTTTACCGGTCTCAAATTGAGAGCCTGGATTCCTTGGGGAAGAGGCCTCCCTCTGGCTTTTAGGAGAGACACTTTCCCTTAGGAACTAACATGGGAGTTCAATCCTGAAATCCTTCTGGTTGGGGGTGCCACAAAACAAAGACACCTTTGAGCTCCTGACAGGAGCGGAGAGGAGCGGGGCTAGAAGCAGCTTTCCCATTTTGTCTCCCCGCTTCATTGCAGGGTCTCCTTTTGCCTCTGGATAAGATCATCCATGGAGGTCTGTGTTCTTGAGCAATTTCTATTCATGGAGGGGTGGCCAGAGGTCTGTTTCAAGAGCAATTCCTGTAGGCAGGGGAAGAGGAGAGATCCCCTTCCCTTCGCACCTGACCCGAAATTAGGCTGTAGATTGGAGGGGATTGCTCCCTCTGCCCAGTCCCCTTGCTGACCGCAGGACTCTACTCAGAGCTGAGTCTTAGGATCAGCTTGGGTTCAATAGACTCAAGTGGAAAGGGCAAAAGAGCTGGTCTCCCCATCCTGAGTGAGCCTGAGAAGGCCAGAGGCTTCCAGAAGAGACCCTCTTCTGGGGTTCGAACATCTGAAAGCCTGAACGTGCGCGGCTCAATACAACGAGGCAGCCCACAGCGGCTTCCTTCTCAATCTTCTCCACTCTGATGTAACCCACATAAAAGTGCCCAGCAGCGCGCCCCACACACCCCTGACAAATGAATGTCATAAAGTTTCTTTTCTGGGGGTGGAGAGATGTCTGTCTAAAGATATTCAGCTGTGAAATGGCCCCCACAAGAGGCCCTGCTCTCAGAAGCACACACCCTCCTTCTTGTCCCCCTAATTTTCCAAGCACTGATGGAACTAGGATCGCACCCAGCCCCCCTTTTTCAGCACAGAAGCACACATTCTTGCAAACAAAACCAGGTACCCCCCTGACTACGGAACACTGGGGCCTAATCCAACTGAGGGCCCCCTTCTTGGGACCCCCAGCTTCTCAGAAGAGGATACAAAAATAGCCAAAACCCACCCTTCTTGTGCCTACAGCCCTGCTAGAAGTAAGAGATTTCCTTTCCCCAGAGCTAAGCCCCCAAAACTGCCAGGGAAGAAGCCAAGGAAAGCTGGAAGAGACTTACTGCGGGGAGAGAGCGCTGGGCCTGGCTGCCGCCGCCGCCTTCTGGGCTGCTCTGGGCAGGGAGAGCGCTCACCTACCTCTGCCCCCTTCCCCACCACAGCTAGCAGTTAAAGTGTCACTTAACATTCTGGAGAATGTGAAATATACCGCGCGGTGTCAACTCCCCAAAACCATAAAACTAACTTTATGGACCTCACGTGACTTTCTCGAGCCAGTGAGGGGTATCTGTCTGACTTCTCGGCGATTTTTACGATCTAACTTCGAGATAAAACCCCTATCCATTTGACATCTAAATGTCATAGCGACTTTTGGGATAGTTTGCTATCTACAAAGGGGGACAAAGTGAAGGGGTGAGGGGGAAGGAGGGCCCAGTGGATCCTCCACAACCCTCTGAGGCCTCCTCCCCAGCTCCCCCTCCCCCCAGGTCCTGTAAGAAGTTGGGCCAGGCTCGAGGGGATTGACCACCGGGTAAGTGACCAGACTTGACTCTTGTGCTCAGGGTGGAGGCTGACTTGAACGGAAAGGGACTGGGCCCTGGCCCCCGGCCAGTCTTACTGGGGGGTGGGGGGCGGCAGGGGCCAACCAGAGGTCTTTCAGGAGGGACCTCAACTCCTAATCAAGAGGGAAGGTCAGTTGGGCCCCTGGAGAGAGGGAAGCCCTCCAGAAATGTTAAGAAGTCTGAGGGTGAGAGAGCCTTTGAAATCAAGTCAATTGGGGGGTTTCTGGTTTTGCCATTTATTGGAGAGCTTAACTGGGCTTTTGGAGCAGGGAACAGGGAGATTGGGCAGGTCTTTACCATTCCCCAAAGGCCAGGGCCTCCCCTCTCAGGACTTAGGCCCACATGACTTCCTCCGAGAAGCTTCAGAGGTTTTTCTGGCTGGCTGGTGGTTGGCCTGAAGGAGGCCAGCTGCAGCCTGCCCTCTATTCCAACCCCAGGCGGGGCCTCTGGGCCTCTCAGCCTCCCAGTCCTGGAAGCCTGACCCTGGGCCCAAACACCCACTGACCAAGCCAGGGATTAGGTGGCTAAGAGGGGCTGCTGCTGAGCACCCTGCTTTCCTTCCCTCCTACCCCCAAGTCTACCTAGCAAGGTCCAGGGTGTACCTGGTGGTGGCCGGCCAGGCAGGCCCCCAGCCCCCGGAGAAAAGACAAGTGGAAGGGCAGTGGAGTGGGGGAAACATTTATTTGATTTCAAGGAAGGCTACAAAGAAATACCCAGAGCGAGTCAGTGAGACAGGCCGGGCAAAGACAGATTTCACAGGCGGCAGCACAGCGTCCACTCGCTGCTCAGCGTCCACTCGCTGCTCACTACAAATGGTCTTGGAAGCGAAATGGGGAGGGGGAGGGAATGGATCTGACCCAGACTGCTCCCCTATTTACAAGCTTTGGGCCCTCTAAGCCAAATCCATAGATTCACAGAGAAACACACAAGACATTTTACACCGAGGCTTCTTCCATTCACTCCCAGACAGGGCCTTGTGGGGCCTACTCAGGCGGCAGGAACTTAATCTCACTCCTTTCCTTCCCCTCTTCCCCACATCAGCCCCTGCGCTCCTCCCTGACCCCTTCCCACCCCAGGATCAAGTCCCATGGTGAGACTTGGGTCTGGGGAGGGGGCCTGGGGGTGGGATGGAGCTGGGGGGGGGCGGGGAGGAAGAGGAGGAAGAGGGTGAAAAGAGAAGCTATCATCATCCATTCTCGGATGCCAGCTATTCCGAGGCCAGCTCAGCTGGGCCCGGGGCACTGCGGCACTCCCCCACCTCCACTGCTGTCCCTTAGAGAAGTTTCCAGCGGAAACTCAAAACACAGCCATCATTCTCTGATAAATAAGTTAGTACACAGATGGGGAGGGGAAAGTTCACATTCAACATGCGAGTTTCTTTTTTTCTTTTTCTTTTCTCCTGCGGGGTGGGGCGGGGTGGCGGTGGGGGGCGACTGCAACCACAGACACGACATTGAGAAACACTGGCGCGTTTGGCGTTTGGGGGTGAGCGGGGAGGCGTGGGGGCGCATGGCGGGGGGGAAATAAGTATTATCATCATTATTATGAACAATTACAACAAGGTTAACCAGTCCAAGAGCGAGGGAGACACAAGAAGACCTAAGACCAAACGAAAACTCGTCACACAGGGCCGGGGGCGCGAGGCAGACTCGTGGGAAGCGGTCCCCAGCGGGCGGGCGGGCGGCGGCGGCGCGGGGAGGCTCCGAGGGGCCGGGGCGGGGGCGGCGCGACTCTTCGGCCTCTCTGGGCTCCGAGGGGCCGCCTCAGGGCTGGAAGGCGCTGCCCGCCGTGGCTAGGCTCATACTTTTCAGTTTGTTGTCCTTCTTCCATTTCATGCGCCGGTTCTGGAACCAGATCTTGATCTGGCGCTCGGACAGGCAGAGCGCGTGCGCGATCTCGATGCGCCGCCGCCGGGTCAGGTAGCGGTTGAAGTGGAACTCCTTCTCCAGCTCCAGCGTCTGGTAGCGCGTGTACGCCGTCCGGGCCCTCTTCCCGTCCGGCCCGGTCATATCTGGAGCAGATAGAGTACAGCCGCGAGGCCACGTTATTCCGGTTAAGGGAGGGGACACTGCGTGGAGGGGGGCGGGGAGCCGGACCCAGGCGTCCCCAGCACCCAGCTCCCTGCAGCTCCAGTCCTCCCTAGCCCAGACGCCCACCCGCCTGCGGCTCGCCGTCTGCACCCCCTTCTGCAGCCCCCCTACTTCTGCCAGCAGCGAAGGCGCCCGGCTTTGTCTCCCGTCCCCTCCCGGTGCCTCACCCTTCGCTGGGCTCAGGCGGCCGCTCGCCCCAGGAGGGAGGGTGGCGAGCGGCGGTCCTCTGGCCCCGCGAGCGCCCTTGCCTGCTCCTGCTTCGGTTGCCAGTGGCAGCCTTAACATGTCGGGGCCGCACAGGAGAAAAATCCCTTCTTTCACCCCAAAGCGAGGAGGCTGGGCGGATCAGACCCGAGCCGGACGCCGGGACAAATTATTAAAAATGCACACACACACACCCCTGGCCAAGACCTTCTAGGGCTCTCTCCCTACAGCTGTGAGCACCCACATAGGGACTTCTCCCCTCTGGAAAAAAAAATATATGTATATTTTTTTCGTTGAGGACAAGCCAAGCTGTTCTCATCCCCCACCCCCAAAGGCAGAGAAGGGCAGCCAAGAAGACAAAAAAGCGCGAGGCGAGTTACCATGGCTGATGTGAAGCTTCCTCATCCACGGGAATATCTGCGGAGTCTGCCCCTCGGGCGCGGCGGTGGAGGTGGCCAGGGGCTCCGGCTGCGCCCGCGCTAAGCTCGGGCTGCCCAGCTGGCTCGCCGCTTCCTCGGGCTCCGAGGACGCGCTGGCCTCGTCTATTTCGGTGAAATTGGCGCTGGAGCTGGCCGGGGTCGCCTGGTCGGAGGGGGACGACGCCGAGGGCTTGGCGCTGTGGCTGTCGCCGTTGGAGCAGGGCAGGGACTCGGGCGAGGACAGGGAGCAGCTCGACGCCGCCGCTGGCCTGAAGCGGGGCTCCTGGGCGGGCGCGGGGAAGGCGCGCGAGCTCTCGCCCACCGCCCCAAAGTGGCTGGAGGAGGCCGAGGAGCGGCTGACGCTGAGGTCCATCCCATTGTAATTGTAGCCGTAAGAGCCGGTGTGCATGGCAGCGGGATCCCTGTAAGAGCCGCTCAGAGAGCTGCCACTGCCATAATTTAGCAACTGATAGTCCGGGCCATTTGGATAACGCCCCGAGAAGGAGTTTACAAAGTACGAGCTCATTTGGGTGATTTTGGAGGGCTTGATTTGTGGATCGTGGTCGTTATAACCCTGTGCTTCACGATTTATGATGTATTAATGAATTATAGCGATGCACTGTACTTCGTTTTGCTATGTATGCGGCCAAATATGGGGGGGGAGGTTGGAAGGGGGATGGGGGGGCGTTAGGGAATCACGTGCTTTTGTTGACCAGTCGTAAATTCTCGCTGATGACCTCAAGAGGTAATTCATGCTCTATGGTTACAAATAATGACGATCCGAGAATCGTTAGGGCCGATTCAATGCGAGCCTCAGAGAGAGGCGGAAAAAAGGAGAAGGGGGAGAAACCCGGAGAAGGTTGACGGCCGCCTCTGAGCAGAGCGCGCCACCTCCCGGCGGTCGGCGGGAGCGCGGACTGCGAACTGCCATGGCGGCGGCCGCCTCCCTCCTGACTCTCCCTGCAGCCGCCTGGAGAAAGAAACCCTAAGCCAAGCCTCGCCGGCAGGGCTGGTCATTTCCGAGAAGGGTCCCAATTGAACCTTTTTATTCCCAAGTTTAAGCAGGGGGCTAGCTTTTCCATCTGGTGTCCTTCCTTATAAAAAAAACAAAAACAAACCCAAAACACTCAAGATGAAATGATCAAAGATCCAGTGGCTCTTCCCTTACTCGGGCTTTGCAAGTCTCCAAGTCGAGGGTGGAAGTTGGGGGCCCGGGTGCAGGGGACAGACGGGACGGGAAGATGTGTGTGGAAAACAATGACGACCCGGGGCTGGCCATGCGAGCTTCCTGGAGGGGCTGAATCGGCGGTGCCCTGTACCCAGGCAGCAGGCAGGGCCGCCCGAAGGCTTCCAAAGAGAAGCCTGTACTTCCCCTGGGCCCTCTGGAAGTTCCGAATCCTCTTCCTGCCCTTCCGGTTCTTAGCTCGGGAAATGGCAGGGCTGGACAGGGACCCAAGAGGAAGAGCACGGGGGAGAGACTCAGCGGCCTAGTCCCCGGCCGAAAGGCAGCTGTGGCTGCTGCAGCAAGTGCCTGGGGTTTGGGTGAAACCATGTGTCTGAGAGTTTGAGGTGAAGGCGAGACCCCTTGCTCCTGCCAGATGCGGGCTGTTGGAGTTGGGAGGCCCAGCTGGATGGCCCCGCAGCTGGAGCAGTTTCCGAGTTTGCTGGGCAGCCACCGCTTTTCCCAGGAAGGGGTTCCAAGGACGGAGGAGCCTTGCTGTGTGCCTGGCCTGGCTGAGCTAGCTGGGCAGCCGGCCGGCGCCCACCGCAGCTGGACCCCTTCTGTTGGGGAGGTTATTTTCTTTAAGATTTAAAAAAAGAGAGAGAAAGGGAGGAGGTAGGAAAGAAAAACAGGAAGGGCTGCTGGGAGGCCAGGTGAGGGTGGGGGTGGGGAGAGACCGGTCGTTTGGGGTTCTGAGGTCAGACCCGTGTGCCCCATCACTTGGCCTCCAGCCTTCACGTCTCGGGAGAACGGGCAAGGCTGTGCCCGTGTGGGCCGGAGACTTCGGATGTCCCCACTGGTTACTGGGCCCTTGAGGTTCCTGGAGGCGTCAGCGGCGGGGCCTGGGGATCCCTAGTGGCTCTGACTCAGTCTCCAGAGCCACGGGGGGTGGGGTGACGGAAGCCCAGGGCCAAGGCCACCAGAGCCAAGCCATGTGGGCAGGCCAAAGAACCAGGGGTCTCAATGAGTGGGACTGAGGACAGTAGAGCGCCGTGAGAACCCACCGCCCCGGCTTCTGCCTGAGCTCCGGAGGCGTCCCCTGTGCGGCGGGCAAAAGAGGAGGAAAATACCGAGAATCTGAGAGAGTGAGAGGATCCCTCTGTATCCCCAAAGCCTGCCCCCTGGAGAGGCTGTTCTGAGCCTCAGCCCCAGCCAAGAGCGGCACTGCGGCCCCGGGACCGCTCCGGCCTTTATCTCAACTGTAATTTCCGAGTCGCGTCCGGAGAGCCCTCTGGGGTGGCCTCCAGGCGGACCATGGCTCCCGCCTTTGCTACCGGGTTTCCGCCACAGGGGCAGATAGGGTGACTGTGGGGAGGTAGGGGGGGGGAGAGGTGAGAAGAAAAGGAACCCGGGGTGGGTGGAGCGGAGGTGACTGATCGGCGAGTTTTTACGTCTTTATTATTATTATCATTATTCATAATATTAATATTATTACCGAAGTATTTCACGTCCAGAACTAAGACAAGACTACAAACACAACACATAGAAAATTAATAAAATAGAACTTTGTTTTCTTCTGAGGCTCCTCTTCTTACTTCTAGGTAGTATGTGCTCCTTCCAGTGGCTTTCGGGCGAGGGTGGGAGAGACGACAGGTCTGGGGTCAGGGAGTCTTCGAGGTCCCGTTGAGGGGACAGCGAATCTACCATTGAACCGTGCACGGGGGGACAGAGACGACACGAGGAGACGCGACAGGGACAAGAGCATTTTGCTCTGCTTCCAGGACACATCAAGTGAGTCAGGTCCTCAGTTCCCGCGGTGGGGGGGGAGCCTGCTCCGGGCCGAGGGGGCTCCGCGAGGTGGGGGGCTCGGAGCGGGTCTCTGCGAGCGGGGGCGCAGGGAGAGGTGCTGGAGGGCGGCGTGGGGAGCGAGTCCCTGCCCCCGCCTGCCCGCAGAGCCTCCTCCGTCTCGCCGACGCCTTGGGCTCTCTGCAGGCTTCTCCATTCGCGTGCCCTCTCTCCAGCGCCTTCACTCGGCCGCCTTTTCTTCCTCTTCCTCGGCGCTAAGCTGAGACGCGCTGAGCAGCTTGCTCTCCTTCTTCCACTTCATGCGGCGGTTCTGGAACCAGATCTTGATCTGGCGCTCGGTCAGGCAGAGCGCGTGCGCGATCTCGATGCGCCGCCGCCGGGTCAGGTAGCGGTTGTAGTGGAACTCCTTCTCCAGCTCCAGGGTCTGGTAGCGGGTGTAGGTCTGGCGACCTCGCCGGCCGCTGGGCCCAAAGGAGGAACCTGTTACACGGAGAGGAGGTGCTGAGGCCTGCACTCAACGGGCCGGAGCCCCCTCCCCCACTCGACCCTCCAGCCTGTCCTGGGACGCCCTCCACTCCTCGTCCCTACCCCTCCCCCCCTTCCTGCGCCTCCGCCAGATTCCCTGGGGGTGTCCCGGGCCGTTGCCCTCTGCGTCTAGACTTTTGGTGGGGGAGGGGAGGAGCAGTTGGAACTCCCACCTGAACCTGGGGGAGGGGCTGGCCAGGTGTGCCTCTTCCTGGCGACTCGCTCCTTTCCTTTCCTTTCCATCCATCCATCCGCTCTCCCCCGCCCACCCTTAATCCGTAATGACGCCCATCGATCCAGAGCCGGCATTAACGGCTCCTCACTTTCATGTCCCGCTAATGGACATCAATTTGGGACTTCAGGCCGACAAATAATCCAGCTCGAAACCCAGGCGCCTGTGGGCCCGCCTCGCCCCCCCACCAGCTCTCACGTTCTTCCTCTTCTTCCTCGGCCTACTCCCCTTCCCTAGTGCCTCATCTGTCCCAGCCACCACCCCAGGGAAGCTCCGTCAGGGACAGACCCCACTCTCCCTCGCCGGCGTCACGCCACGCCACCCCCCTCCCATGACGTACTCCGTTTCGGAGGGAGCTGGCCTCGGGTGGGGGCCCCGGTTGGGGTCTTGGGGCACCAAGGAAAGCCAAGCTAGGGGCTGTCGTCCCGGCCTCCTACCCTGGCCTGGCACCCCCAGTCTGGCCCCGCCTGAAAAGCCCACTGCTTCCCCCTGGTTCAGAGTCCAGCTGGGACTTTGCAAACTTTCTAACTCTGGAGGGATGAGAGCACAGAGCGCCAGACCTGGTGCAGGCGCCGGTCTCCCATCCTCTCAGCTCTGAGACCCACCCCTAGCACCCCTGGGAGGCGGGTGGAGGGGGGAGCCCGCTGGCCCTGTCCTGGGGAGGGGACCCGCGGCGGCGAGCAGTGACACTCACTGTTGCACGAATTCATCCGCTGCATCCACGGGTAGACCGGGGTGGAGCACTTCTGTTCCTCCGTCTCACCGAACACACTCTTGTCCTGCGCGCAGTCCGACTTGCGCGGCTCGGGGTGGAACGGGGGCGGCTCGTCGGCGCCCGAGAGCGCGCAGGCCGACTCCTTCTCGCGGTAGAAGGCCGGCGCCGGCCCGTAGTCGCAAGGCGCCGCACGGCCGTAGCCGCCGGCGGCCGGTGGGTAATAGGAGGAGGCGGCGAAGCCCTTGTCCTGGCCGGGGCCCGGGCCGTAGGGCGCAGGATAGTGCCTCAGCGGGTCCGCATAGCCCGACGAGTAGAGCGGTAGCTGGCCCAGGAAGGACTCCTGCCCGCTGGCCAGAGTGACGGGGAAGGTGGAGTTCACGAAATAGGAACTCATTGGGAGGGGAGGCGCGCGCGGTCGCTGCTGCTCCGCCGGGTCTATGATTTGTTGTGTTTTATAGTCCGAGCGCCGCGCCTATTAGTAGTATATCCGAGATTGGGTTTTAGCTGAGGGGGGATGGCGAGGTGCCAGTGAGGGCCAGAAGGAAATACAACCATCTGATCCAACACTGACCAATGGCAGAGGCAGGAATTGTCAAACAGCACCCAGGAGGAGCGCAGCTCGCACGAGGGACCCGCGCACAAACCTATCAACCTTTTCCCCCCCTCCTTCTCCTTCTCCTTTCTTACCACCCCCCCCCACCAATAACACAACTGCGTCCTGCTCTACCTACGTAGGATCTGCGCCTTTGAGGGGGGAGGGAACATTTGGATTAAGAACACCCCATTCCCCCAGTGATTAAATAAATATATCCTCTCCCCCCACCACCTCCACTCACGCAGGATAGGAAAAAGTTCATTGTGTTTTCAGAAAAGTTAACCCCTGAGTTGCTTGGACACAGTCTCTTGAAGGAGAGCTGGGTGAATGTCCTCAATCTCTACTGAGACCCAGTTAAAGAAGGTTTGTTTAAAGGGGTTGAGGTGGGTAGAAGGCAGGAGAGTTCGGCGGTGGGTTTCTAATTAGCGTCATTTTCAGAAAAGAGAGCAGCGAAGAAACACCGTGCCAGGTTGTAAGATCTGGTTTTTATTTTTTCCTGTGAATCAGATCCACTGCCTGGCCCTCAAGTCCAGGTCTCCCATTATTCCTGCTTCTCCACAACTAGGGTTTAAGAGAGATAAGCCCAAGCCCTCTGCCTAGAGAGCTCAGAAGATGGGGGATATAAGACTGTGCAAGGGTGCAGGAGAGTCCCAGCTTCCCGTCTAGGTCTCAGCTAGGCAAGGAGCTGCTTGGCTGCCTGCGGCTGGGGTTACCGCTGCTGCCCAAGATGTCCTGTCTGGTTCTGGGACTACTACGCAGCTGCTCTCCTCAGGCGACACAGTACGAGGAAGGGGACTTAGTGTCCTACCCACTCAGGCCTAACAAGAGCCAGAATGAGGTGCCTTTATTTCTCCTGGCTCTATGCTGCCTTCTACTCTCACTCAGTCCCTACCTCAAAGACACAATACTATCGTAGTGCAGAGTCTTAGGGATGAAAGACATCCAGGTACATCTGGGTACAGGAAGGAAATGGTTTCTCTTTCAATTTCACGTCTTCAAACCCTCCTGATATTTGAGGCAATTAGACACCACCAAGAGGAGAGTAATCTTTAACCCTTTTCCAGGTCTCTCTTGAAAGTTCCTCTAAACTGGGAATACCTCTAAAAATGAATTCTTTCCCAAGATGTGGTTTGGATTTAATTTTCTAAGGGGAGGGGGGGCATGTTTGAGTTTTCCTAGGGGACTCAGCAGGCAGCTAGCAACTAACTCCCTGCCAGTATCCCTTTCTCCAGACACCATCCTTCTGTCTGCCTCTCTGGAATTCCCTCCCACGCCCACCCTGTGTTTGTGTCACCAGGTTTGTTAGTACCACCTGGTTAGTCTGTACCTCCAGGTTTGCTACTCTATGAGGATGGAGCTGAGAGAGAGTGCATGTGTGTCCCTGGCTCTCTTAGGAAAAGAAAGTGAGCATCGCCCCCCGCCCCCCCCAAACCCTGTGGGCCAGAGTGCCTTACTAATTCTAATATGGACACAGAGACCAGGTAGAGAATGGTGACAGCCTTTGACCTGGGGACAAGAAGTGGGGGGGGGGCAAGGTGTGGGGCAGTCTACTGTTGGGCAAATCTGTCCCTCTGTTGACTTCTTCCCTTGGACTCCTTTTCTGTGGGCCAGCTCTGTCCGCCAAAGACAGCCCAAGACACTAGGGAAGGTGATTGAAAGCTGAGGTCGGGGAGACCAGAGCCAGGCTTGGCAAAGCCATCTCCAGGGCTCCTTGAACTCAGGGCAACATCTAGGCTACACTGGATGGCCCTCCATCACACCTTAATCAGGCTCTATGGGGTTTTGAGGAGGAGTTGAGAAATAAAACCCAAATACTCTAATGATGGAAAAGCAGAAATTAACCAAACTCACTGTGGTTGTGTTTAGTGCTAGAGACTAGGAATGGGAGCCATTTGGTAAAAGACAGTGCCTGGGTGCATGTCTGTCCTTTATGCCATTGACGCTGGGCTCTGGGCCTCAGTCCTGCCTGCCTCCTCCTCCAACGGCCACAATATCAATTCTAGAACTGGGCCCCTTGTGGGCTTCCTTATGGGGCCTAGACAAATGTATACACTTGCATGGGCCTTCTCTCGTGTTCTGAGGACAAAAACAATTACCTTATGCAAGGACTCCAAGCAGTCCCCAAATTAGCCTCACCTCTGCAGGTTGCCTGCAGGGAGATGGAGCCTCTGAAAGGCAGGGCCTGGGCGCCTGGAGTCAGGCATGAAAGGAAATAGCGCCTCATCTCTCTTATCTAAGCCCAGAGGTATTTATGAGCGTTTATTCGTCTGATCCATTTGTTTGGGAGAAAGAGCAGCCCGTGTAAGGGCCTGGCCAGAGGCTGCCTGGCTCCTGGAGCCAGATCTCTACGAATTTGTCTGTGGTTTTGGTCCATCCCTTCTATCTGTCTCTGCAGAGGAATATGTAAATACACAAGGAGGACACAGCCAGTCTGCCCTCCTGGGGAGTCTTTCCCCACGTCAAGGAGGCTGTGTATGGCTCGCTGTAGCAAGGCTTGGGGAGACAACAGAAGGATTGTAGAGCTGGCCCACAGGCACCTTTGAGAATTATTATTTTCTGTGATGCCAGTCTAGTAGACACCCACACTTTCTGGCTCCCAGGGAAATGTCTTCGAAATTGTGTTAGGCTCAGGAGTAGGTTTCGCCTGCACCAGTAACCATAGCGAAGTACACATGCTTGTAAATACGGTGTGTGTGTGTGTGTGTGTGTGTGTGTGTAGACACTGTCCAGGCTCCCCCCTGGCTCCCCCTCTCAGGATCTTGGGGTTGTGGGTTTTCCCCCCAATAAACACACACACACACACACACACACACACACACACACACACACACACACACACACCCCTCAGCTCCTGCTAGGCTGGGAGATTGAAGCCTCTCAAGCTATTCCTGCCCTGGATTCTTGGGGTTTGGGGGGTAGTGTTCCCAGGAGGGAACAGGGTGGCCCACTCCTAAAGTTGGATGGGGCACTTTGCTTAATATCCACCCATCCAAAGAGCTGTACAAAGATTTTACTTCCATTATGCAAATGACCGGCACATCTCTGATATGTAGAGGGGGAGTGGGTGGTCTCTTCCTGCTCCCTCTCCTCCAGTGAGCCTGTGGGCAGCCTAAAAGGCCCAACGTGTAATTCCAACTGGACGTCTCCTCCCCACCCGTCCTGCCCAAGGTCCACCAGAAATCATCTGCTAGGGCCCCATGTCCTTCCCTGTAGGCTCCCCCGGGAGCCTCCAGCAATGCCCCGCTGGGCGGGCTGACTTTCGAACTGCCACAGTGTCATTCCTGCCGCCGCCAAGATGCTGCGAGGGCAGCTCCTGTGGCCCAGACCCCAGGGGAGGTCTCAGGCAGGGCTGGGGGCCCCGTGCCCCCGCGGTGTTTGCCCCCAGCCCTTGCCAGCCCCTCGACCACAGCAGCAACTCAGGCTCTGGCTGAGGCCAGACCCCTGTCACACCTCGGCCGGCACCGTAGGCAATTTCCTGGAACCCCCGCCCAGGGTCCAGAGCCACTGCACCTTGAAAGGAGTGGCCTGAGCTTCCTCCCGCGGCTTGAAAGCACGAGCTAATCAGTAACCCAAGAGACTGGGGCCAATACTCCAACGGGCGGCGGCGGCGGCGGCAGCGCGGACCCCTGCCCTCCCCACCCTCTCCTGGGAAAGCAACCAGGTTAAGCGGATGAGAGGGGTCGGCCGGAACCAAATCACAATGGTTCAGTTCCTGAATGATTCCTCTCCACTCCCACTCCCCACCCCACCCCCCACCAGCAGCTTCATTGCCTGGATTTCGCTCCAAACGATCTAGAATGGGGGAGGGGCCGAACACTCACTTGCAGACACCAACCACTTCCAGAAAACTCGATTCCATTCCTTTACCACGGACCCACCAGCCACGAAACTGGCAAGAACCCCCCAGCCGAGCGGGGGAACACAGGCCTGGTTTGTCTTTTGACAGCCAAGTGGAACTGCCGCCCGGCGCCTCCCCTGCCGGGCCCTTCCCTTGGCTGAGAAGAAAACCAAATAAACCTTTGCAGCCTTGGCCTCCGATCGCCCCAGCGGCCGGACCCCCTCTCGCGCCCATGGGGGAGGCGTCTCGCCACTCGTCTCCCCAAGCTGCGGTTCAGGGCCCCCTGCCCGCCGGATGCAGTATTAGTCCTCTAGAAACGTGTCCCAGAAAAAGCCGCTTCCCCCGCCCGCGTGGGAGCGCGGAGGCGGCGCGGGGCGCCGGGGCTCTAAGCCACCCTCGGCGGCCAAGAGCGCACGCGGCGGAGAGCGCCCCTCGGGCCGCAACGCCGGGCCTCCGACCCCGCGCGCCGGGCCGGCTCGCGCCGCGTCGCAGGCTGGCGGCGCCGGAGCCGCGTGTCTCGGCGCGGACGGTAGATGGCAGCAAACCGCATAATTTGGGTCACAGCAAACTGTCTGCGACAATTTATAACCCGCCAAGACTACGGGAGAAAAAGACCTTCCGTCCGGGTGGCTTTGGGGAATTTGTCCTTTGAGACGAGGCCCGAGTGCCGTGCCGTGGGTGCGCGCCGAGAGACTGCTCGCGAAGCAGCCGAGCTGTCCCCTCGAGGGCGCCCAGGCCCGGACTGCCCAGAGGGCATCTTCCTGGGCCCCCAGGCTTCCCCTCCCGCGCCACAAGTGTCAGCGTCCTTCCCGCGCCATCTCAGTCAGAAGGCCAACACCCCACACACACCGCCCCCCCGCCGCACCCCACCCCCGCCCCCCGCAACCCAAGGCGAAGCCCGAGACCCAGTGCTCCGAATCTGGTTTTAAGACCGAGAAAAGCAGTCACCAATGTATGTCAACCAAACTAAATGGCAGTCTCTCCTGCCCTCTATGCCCAACATGGCCCCGCCGCTGCTTCTGCAGAATACACCCTCCCCACCCCGCGCACCATTTTGTTGTCCACAGCTCGAAGCTTGGCCCTCCTATCCCCCACCCACCCGACTAGCTACTTTAGGAACCCACGTCCCCCGGCTTCAAAGCCCCTCTTCTCTCTGCCCCCTGGAAGGCCTAGGTGGGAAGGTGAAATCCGGCGCTGGAGGGACTGGCCTGGCCGGTCTGCGCTCCAGGCCAGGCGGCTTCCCAGCCCAGACCGCTGCCAGACCCCCTAAGTGAGGGTTCTTTTCTTTCTTTGTTTACAAGCCACAAACAACAGCGCGGGAAAGAACTTCTCCCCCATCACCACATTTGCTTTGAGGAAAGTTTGCCAAAGAACACTGTTTCCACAGCAGACACCCACATGACATTTTTTTTTGCTCCTCCACCGAAATCAACACACACACACCCTACCCCCCATACCAATATAGCACAAGTAATGGAACCCATAGCACAGAGAAATCAACATGCTGTAACCTACCGCTTTAAAACCACAAACCCATCTCCCGGCAGAGCGAGGCTCCCTCCTCTGGGAGTGGAGAGGGACCTGGGTACTCGCTGGCAGCCTTCCTGGAGGGTCGCCCTGGCTCTGGGTGTGTCCACCCACAGCCCTTCAATTTCACACACGTCTCCGAAGGGAGCTGGTGAGCTTTTCTCTGTGAATTGTCCTTTTTCTGTGTTTCTATAGCTGTCGCCTGCTCTCGCCAGCTTCTGCGGAGATTCCGGGGCCCTCCAGAGACCAGGACGTCCCTGAGCGCCACCGCCCCTCATGCCAAAGATGCTGGGGAAACTGCCGGACCGCGCTGGGCAAGAGAACTGCGCGGGGTAATTGGGAGAGGCTGGGACAAGAAGAGGGTAGGGGGAGGGGGGAGGGAGCTCCCCCCCCACCCCCACAAACCCACTGGCTTCTGCAGGGCGCTGTGGAATCCCAGACACCCCCATCCTCTCTCCTGCAGCCCCTCTCCAGAGCCTCTTATCCTCGCTTAAAAAGGCGATACCGAACTTGCCTAGGTGACCCCTTTCGGTTCCTCCTCCTATCTGCCCTGTCTTGGCTCCCCCTCCAGGAAGCAGCCACCCCTCTCTCTCTCTGCCACCGAATTTGCTGGGAAGCCTCTCCCTGCAGCGCCCAGAGGTGGGGTTCAGCCCTCTCTTGAGGGGGGGGGGAGTCAAGTCGAAGCCCCACCCCTCAACAAAATCGATGCAAAAGAACAAGAGAATTGTCGAAGCTCCCTTACCTTTGCAGATCTTGATTTCCCCACACACACCGGACTGAAAGGGGTGGGGAGGAAGGGGGGAGAAGAGCGTTCGGTTTCTTCTTCAGCTTCCAGATAATATTGTCCCAACCTGAGAGCCGTTGCTTCCCCTTCTCTGACTTGGGAAGAGAGGGTGTTTCGCTCTTCTGACATTTGCATAGAAAATGGAGTAAGTTCTGGTTTTGAAAAATGGTATCAGTCTGCGATCCTGGGCCGCTTTGCCATCTAGCCTCCATGATGACTAAAATCCCAGATCAGCCAGCAAATTAATTTAGGAATTAAAATTATTTTGGGTTCTCTCTTTTGTGTAATGCCCACCCCTCCTTCCCTCTCTCTCTTCTCTCTCTCCCCGCTCCCCCCTCTGTCTTTTCTCCCTTTCACTCGATCGAGCTGATACCGAAGTATAAAAATATCAAGAGGCTGGCGCCCTGAAGGACGACAGTGCTCCGACCTAGGTGTGGTGTCCAAAAGAATGCTGCATTATAACCACCAGGGAAATGATAAAAAGTTCATGTTCACGATCGCCCGGCCACATGACCGGCGCCGGCCAATCGCTGGATTCAACCACTCATAAACTTCTATCACAAAGTTGTAAATTTTCATAAAACAACAAGGAATTTATTGCATTTCTTCATGGCTGCTCCACCAGCAGCCCTTTTCTCAGTCGCCATCTTCTTTTCTTCTCCTTCTCGCTTTTTGGGGAAACCCCAATCTGAGAAGGGGTAAGATTTGGGGTGCTGGGAATCAGGGCGGAGGAGCCGCCAGAGGCCAGCTGGGAATAAGGTTCCTTTTGAGCCCTTCCTTTGCTCTCAGGAGCCCTGTTTCCATGGGCTAGTAAAATTTCACCTCCCTTTCCCCAGGCACAGGGAGTCTTCTCCGACATTTGGGAGGCGGGTGAGGTGGATATAACAGTGGAGGTACAGACTTGCCATTTGAACCAGGACAAAATGAAAGCTTCAGGGGTTCGCTCTCCCCTCCTCATGGCCCCACCCTTTCCCTCCCCAGAGCAGGTGGGACCCCCTACCTGTGAGGCTGGCAGCTTGGCAGGGCCAGAGAAGAGCACCCTCCCTACACTTCCCCAGGCCTAGCTTTTGATCCAGGAGGGAAAGTTGTCTGGGCAGGGGCCAAAGCAGAAGGTCGGGCCATCCTATTCTCGGGAAAGGGGAAGGCCAGATCCTCGTCTCTCCAGCCCCACCCTGCCTGGGCGCACCCAGAGGGCTCACTCGGTCTTCCCCTCCAGGGCTGGGTTGCAGTCGCTGAGAGGGGACTTGCAGGTTTAGGGGCTGTTTATTGCAAATTCAAATGAAACAAGTGCTCCAGAACACGCCGGCGGCGCGCTTCCCTTCCAACACTGTTCGCTTCTTCCGGTTCAGGCAATCCAGGGTCTACGGTGGAAGAAAAACTCAAAATCAGTTCTGGAGGGTGAGGCCTTTTTCCAGGGGTTTTGTTGAGCCAGGAGGGGATGTTTGGTAGTGAAAAAGAAAAAGGACCCCAAACAGCGGCCCTCTGGTTCCCAGGTTCTCCGTTATACCGCCATGTTTTTAGTTTAGTTGTCAGCGTCTGAATGTATGAAAGGAAATAGCGTAACCTCCGCCCAAATAGTTTTCCCCCTTTCTCTCTCACTCTTTGTGCTCTGGAAAAGGTCCCAGGTAGCTGGCGCGGAGGAGAGCGGAGAGCCGGCAGAAAGGCGCGGAGGAAGGCGGCCGAAGCCCAGCTCAGGGAGGCCAGGGCGGGGCCCTACTAGCCTGGTAAATTCGAGCCGTTTGAGGCTCTTTTGCTCCTGGGATCTTTACATAAATATATTTATATTGTTTAAGTTTTTATGTGGATCTCTTGCGTCCCTTCAGAAGGAGACAAATTAAAATAAACGAAAGGAAAATAAATGGAAGACAAAGGAGCAAATGCAGCGCTTGTTGAAAATGTGTACCGAGCGAGGCGGAGCCGTGAGCGAACTCCCCGGGTTTTGGAAGCCGCTGGATGCGCGGAAAGGTCCGCGGCTAGTGGGCCTGCTTTGCCCAATGCCCGTCAAAGAGGCAGGGATGTATGCGGGTCTTCACCTTTTCTTTCTTTATCGCCCTTCCTCCCTACAGGACCCAGCATTTAGGATTTCTGCTCTTCTGGCGTCCAGATTACAGCGGCAGCGGTGGCTGCGGCGGCGGCGGCAGCGGTGGGGCCACCCAGTTCTCAGAACCCGCAGTCTGGCTTGAAGGCCTGGATAAGGAAGATGATTTGTGGAACTGGGGGTGGGGTGGGGTGGGGAGGTTGTTTTGTTTTGTTTTCCAGTGTGCTTGACTGAGCATGTGGAGTCCTGGATGCGTTTACTTGGGAGCAAATGTGAATCCCTGTGTCTATAAGCCAATGTGTGAATGTGCATTTATGAGTATGTATAAATGTGCCTGCTAGTGAATGTGCGTGTGAATGTGAATATGTCTTCCTTCCAATGGAGCTGGAATTGTGTGAAAACCTGTGTGCTTATGCTTACTTGTGAGTGTGTGTATACAGTATGTATGTATTTGGGGATTGATGTGAAGATGTAGGGATTTATTTATAGGTGATGTCAACCTCTAAATAAATCTGTATGACCCTATGCATTGGTATGTGTCCAGGTGTGTAAAAAGCTGCAAATAGAATGCATCTGCTATCAGGGTTCGCCCATTTGCAGCCCTCAAAGCAAGGGGCATCAGGAAAGAGAGCAGACCCCAATGCAAAAAGCAATGGGTGCTGGAACTGTGCCACCCATTCGTAACTGGGCGGACCCTCCCCAGCCTTAGGAAAACACTGAAAAGAGGACCACTGTTTATTTTTAATTATGCTTTATTTTTCCACCCTTCAGCTACACGCAGAACGTAGAGAGGAACACACAGGGCTGGCGGAAGCAGCAGGCAGGCGCACAGTGGGAACACGCGAGCTACACAATCTTCCGTAGGGCTCACTAAGGCCCCTGGAGAGGGGAGTGGGGGCTGCTACCCAGAAGGTGAAAGGCGAGAACCACACACTTTAGTCTGGACCCACAATCAACAAAGACAGCATCAACAGGGGCTTACAAACCAGCAGGATTTTACAAAGACTTTACAATGGCCACATAGAAAAGGGGAGGTAAATTCCAGAAAGCTACAGAACAAGAATGCAAAGTCCTTCACATATCGTACAAAAACAACCCCAACCAACTTTCCTATAGGTAGTATATATTTTTTCAGTGTTAAGAACCCCAAATTTCCTCACGTCTTCTCTAGACATTTTTAGAAACTGCTTTCCACTGAAATAGGGGTTTTCCCCTTCTCATTGAGTCAAGTTTCCTGGTTCAGTTCCCAGAGTGTGAATGAATGTACACGTCTCCCTCTCTCTTTCTCTCCTCTGTCTCTCTCCTCTCTCTTTCATCTTTTCCTCTTCTACACCTTATCTGTCCTTCACTCTTCCTCTTCCTCCTCCGCCTCCGCCTTGTCTTGGCCGGTGGTGCCTGGACTGGCGGTCTTGTTTTCTTTCTTCCACTTCATGCGGCGGTTCTGGAACCAGATCTTGATCTGGCGCTCGGTCAGGCAGAGCGCGTGCGCGATCTCGATGCGCCGCCGCCGGGTCAGGTAGCGGTTGTAGTGGAACTCCTTCTCCAGCTCCAGCGTCTGGTAGCGGGTGTAGGTCTGGCGACCTCGCTTGCGGTCAGTCCCTGAGCACATGTAGAGGAGAAAAATACATGAGTGCAAGAAGGGTCCGGGAGAGTACCCACCACGGTCTAAATCGTGTGCGTGCGCGCGCGCGCACTAAAGTAGAAGGTCGTTTTCCCATCAAACCCAAATTTCGCTTTTCAGACCCCAGCTGGCATAGAACCTTTCCCCTTAGTGCTGCAGACCATTCCACAGGCCTCCCATGGAAGGTACTCCAGTCTTCTATCCCAAAAGCTGTTCCAAGCTGGGCATTGGAAACCTAGGGAAATGCAACCTACTGGCTGACTCTTGAGGATGAATGGAAGACCGGCAGGGGGTAATCTTATCACCCTTTGAAAACAGGGACCCCAAGCCTTCCCTTCTTGAGGTTAGCTCTGGTGGACCTTGGAGTAAAGGTGCAATGGGCATGATGGCAGGGACCTTGAAGGGGGGCTCCTGCTTGGCCTGGATTCATTTCCCAAGAAGAAAAGGAGACAAAAGACTCATGGGCCCGGTCTCGATCCGGTCTCACCCACCACTCCCCTCAAGCCTCTTGTGGAAAGAAGAGGAAGTCAAAGTTAGCACATTGCCTTAGAGCTTGCAGTTGGGCTGGGAGCAGTCACCCTTTGCTGGCTCTTTTCTAGTGAGTGGTTGAGGCTCAGGCAGGGCCAGGCTGGCCTGTCAGTTGCCTACCAGACAGTCCGCTCCAGAAAGCAATCCTTAGGCCTCCAGGAAGGACAGGTGGGACTGAAGGCGGGATTGGGGTGAAACTTGAAGTATGGAGGTGTGTGTGTGTGTGTGTGTGTGTGTGTGTAGGCTAAAGAGTAGAGGGATATTGCCCAGGTTAGGCCCAGCATCCTGAGGCGGTTTAGAGGAGGATTGCGCTGGGAAGGTGCTGGTTCCAGCCCTCCTAGGAAGGAGACAGGGGAGGAGGAACCAGGACCCCTAATTTCAAGTCCGATAAAAGGCAAGCTGAAATGTTTTCAAGCAGAAAACTCGGGGCTTTGATAAATCAACCGGAAAAGCAGTTGAATTATGGAGCAGGTGACCACCAAGACAGACGGTTTGAGCGCTGGCTCATCCAGGGCCCCAATTCTGGCTATTTGGGACCAGCTGGTCACTGGTCTTGAGGGAGGTTAAGAAGGATGTCTGGTCAGGCTTGCCAGGAAATCCCATAGAGCCTCTGACCTCCTACAGTTGGGACACAGCTGAATCCATTAGGGTCTTGACTCCCAGTAGTATCAACCCATCTCCCACAAACAGGGCTTTTGAACTTTTGAAATGGCACCTCCAAACTTGTTGGCCAATTCTCCAGGGGTGCATCTAGGAGTCCTGACAAGGCCAGCACCTGAGGAAGCCACTTGTGCTCTCACAGGCCTCAGTGGACCTCTTTCTACAGTTCTCCTGCCCATACCCCAAGTTCATTGGTGGGGAGAATAAGGGTCTCATCTCTTTGGGCCTTATCCCCGCCCCTCCCCCTCCACCTGCTTCTCTGTGCTCAGTGTCCCAGGCTGGGTCCATATCTCTCCATCTCTCTTACCCCCTCCTCCCACCAGGCCTCTAGGGCCCACCTCTAATTGTCCTGATAGGGATAATGGGGGAGCAGGGTTGGCTGGGAAAGAAGGGGGAGGGGAGTGCTGCTCAGCGCTTGGGACCCCTCCCCCAGACCATCTCCAAGCTGGGGCTGGGGCAAACACCCAGAGCTGAGATCCCCCGGTAGGGAGGCGGGGAAGGGGGGGCGCCTGGGAGAGAGACCCTAACGGCTATTCTTTGCAAACCCAAAAGACAAACAGCCTGGTCTCCAGCCCGTGCGGCGCGGCTGATAAATATTTAAAGCTAAAAGGCCGAGGGGAAGGGTGGAAGGCGAGCTAGGGGCTCTGCGCGCCGCAGCGTCGCGGGCGGACAGACCGCCCTGAGCTGGGCCAGCGGAGCGCCCCAGCCCAACCAGTGCGGGGGCAGCGCGCCGGGGCCCCGTCCCCGGGGTGGCGGCGTCTCCAGGGCCCACCGCAGGCCCGAGCACTCTGGACGCGCCCAGCGGGAGCCGGCGGGCCAGGGCCAGGGCCAGGGGAGAACCCTCGGGAGAACGTTCCCGGCTGCTGCGGCGTTACCTGAGCTTCGCATCCAGGGGTAGATCCGGAAGTTACTCTCGGCCGCCAAGTCCGAGTCCCTCTGCTCCTTGGCGCCCGCCGCCTTGGCGGAGTCTCCGGGACAGACCCCGGAGAGGTTCTGCTCAAAGGGCGCACAGTGCATGTTGAAGGAACTCGGCTCGAGCCCGTAGCCGGCCGCGTAGACGCCGGCCGCGCTCTGGCCCGCCATGCCCCCCCCGCCCGGGTACAAGCCCTGCATCGAGGCGGTGAAGGGAGCGCCCGCCGCCGCTCCATAGCCCGGGCGCTGGGGGTTGGAAGCAAACGCACAAGAAGTTTGTTCGGGGAAGGCTCCGGTAGCGAAAACCGAACTTGCGGCTGGATATTTAGAAAATAAAGCATTCGCATAATACAATGAACTCATAATTTGGCCGGATGATTTGTAGGCAGGGACGTTTTAGTGTCGGTTTTACGAGATTCCTTGATATATTACAGAATTAGAGTCCAGATTTACACCAAAAAGGACCCCCTTTTTCCTCTCCGGACCACGTGACCTCCGCCCACGTGACGTCCCCTCCACCAATGACCGGCAGCCTCCCCACGGCTCCTGGTAATGTGGAAAAAATTGTGTGGCGTTGGATTTATAAAATATGATCAATAATGAATGGGGAAGCCGAGCCCTGTGGGTTGGGGCTGGGGGCTCAAGGGCCGCTGTCGACCCCCGCGGGCTGGAGGCAGCTTGCAGGCGAGATTTGGGGAGGAAGGAATTGAGTGAAAGGGAAAATAAATAACCTCGGAGCGATCCGTGTTGTCACCCCCTCTACCCCCCCAACCCCGCCCCAGCCATCCTGCCCAGTCCCTTTCCAAAGGAAAGACAAACCCAGGAATTGAATGCACGCGACTGGGGGCAGGGCAAGGCAGGTCTTTATTAATCCAGGCCCATTCCCGAAGCCTGGGCCTTTGGGGGGACCTTGGTCCGTTCCCCCCCAGGTGAGGGATGAGAGAGCCTGCCCTCCCTGCTCCCTGGGCGCTCCAGACAGAAGGGCGGGATGGACTGACTGTGGGTTTGTGATGCATGCTGCCTTAGGTAGGTCCCAGAGGCCTGGGACCCGGCCCACGGACGTGGGACGCTGACGTTTCGGATGACTTTTTTTTTAAAAAGGAAAAGAAAGAAAAGAATAAGGTTGGAAAATAAAAAAGGAAGGGGGTGGGGTGGGTGGGGAGAGAAAGGAAGGGAGGAGGGCGGCCCAGGGCAAGCCTCTCTCCGGTTCCGGCAGACGGATGCCTCCACCGCGGTCTCAGCCGCCAGGGAAGCCGAAGCGGCAGTAAAGAGAGGCCGGCTGCCAGCCTTGGCCGGCCTCGGAGCTGGGGGAAGGAGGCCACACGGTCCCGGGAAGAAGAGAGGAGAGCGTCATCCCTCCTCCTGCTCTCCACTCCCCCCTCCCACAACCAGAGGCTGGAGGGGGGTTGGAATAAGCATGATCAGGAGCTGTGTCCCGCACCTTTACAGCCCCCCCC